AAGTCTGTCAATGTCACTGCGTGGAAGAAGGGCATGATTCATTGTCATTATTTTTCTGGTCTTCCTATCCATTGCTTTAGTTCTGCTTGAGTCCAGTCCACTATTCCAGCTGTGTACCTAATGACTGGAATTGCCCAGGTGTTGATTGCCTTTATGGTATTTCCTCCATTGAGTTTGAACTTTAAGATCTTCTTCACTCTCTTGATGTATTCACCTCTAATCTTTTTCTTGACTTCAGTGTGCTTGATGTTGTCAGTTGAAGGATACCCAAGTATTTGTAGTACTCTTTCTCATCCAGACTCTTAATGTTATTTTCGTGGGGCATCTTGATTCCTTCAGTTTTCGCTATTTTTCCTTGTTTGATAGTAAGTGTGGCACATTTGTCCAAGCCAAACACCATTACAATATCTTGGCTACATATATGGACAGTGTTGAGCAGCGATTCTATTTCAGATGATGTTTTTCCATACAGCTTCAGATCATCCATGTAAAGGAGATGGGATAGTCTGGCAGATGTTTTTGATGTTTGATAGCCATGTCCTGAGTTATTCAGTATTGGTGACAGAGGAAACAGTGCAATAACAAATAGTAATGGTGATAATGAATCTCCTTGAAATATTCTTCTCTTGATATTAACCTCTCCCAGTCTCTCACCATTGATCTGCAACTGTGTCTTCCATTGTGCCATCGATCTTTGCACAGATTTTCTGATGTTTCTACTGACTTCTGTTATTTCTAGGCACTTCATTATCCAGTCATATGGCAGAGAGTCAAATGCCTTTTTGTAGTCAATCCATACCACATTCAGGTTGGTCTTCCTTTTCTTGCAGTTTTCCAAGATCATTTTGTCTATTAGGAGTTGATCTTTTGTTCCTCTGCTATTGGGGTGGTTTCCTTTCTGCTCAGGTGGAAAAAGATTCTTTTCAACTAGATGCTGTTGTACTATCAGCTACCACACCAGTTAGTAATTTGAAAGTTATTGGTAAGCAGGTAATTGGCCTGTAGTTGCCTGGTGTTGCCCTTTTTGCTGGACTTTTCATTATTAAGTAGGTTTTCCCAGTTGTTAGCCACTTTTCAATTTCTCCTCCTTGTAGTATATTGTTGAACTGCTTGGCAATGAGTGGGTGTATAACAGTTAGATGTTTCAACCAAAACCCATGCAGTTCATCTTCACCTGGTGCTGACCAATTTTTGATGATGATGATGATTATATTAAATGCAACTGTGATTATGAAAGTGATGCTTATGTCCATTACAGGCTGCATTATAGCTATGAGCTTGATTGAAATCCCTCAAACCCCCCTCCCAATCATTAGACTCATGAGTTAACTGCAAAAAATTCAATTCCTGTAGTCTCCTCATGAGAAGCAACTGTCCTGAGTGCAAATGGGCAATCTTGTGATCTCTTTCCAAAAAGACTTTCTTTCAAGGATGTCTAGTCCACCACAGAACCCCACCTGAAAACTAGCTTTAACCAAACAATCCTTCAAGTTGACTCCTGGTGATTTCAGGAACACCTTCCTAAAACACATCTCTAAAGCTCTGTTGTTATAACAAAAACTGTATTTGTTTTTGTAAAAAAATTTTTATTTTCAATTTTACATTACATCATAAAAAATACTTCAGATAAAAATAAATTTATACACATAACTTTTGGTATTGCTCACCCATTTCCCCCCAAACCGCATCCACCCTCTAACCTCTTCTCTCACTTCCCTCTTCTTCTTCACTCTCCCCCTCTCCTTCTTCTCCTCAACCTTCCTACTTACTTCTCCCCTTCCTCCTATCTTCTCATTCCGGATGCAGTCCAGGAGAAATGCCCGAGCAATTCCTCTCTCCAAAATAAAACATAATATTATAAACAATGAAACTATTTCTACTTATCTGAGCTATTTAACCTTCAACCCATCCCCCTCCCCCCTCCTCCCTCCCCACTTCCCAGAGCCAAGTACAGGGTTATACAAACATATTAAACATAATCTATTTAAGTTTACTAATTATACAATAATCAAAATCATACTAACCCTTAACTCTCTTCAAACTTTAACATAATTTTATAAACAAATCTATTACTCATAAAATAAATGAAACTTTGTAGTTCCATATTTCTTCTGAACATATTCTATCCATCTTCTCCATACAATAACATATCTCTCTTGTGAATGGTCCTTTAAATAAGCAGCAATTTTAGCCATTTCTGCTAAATTAGAAACCTTAAATACCCATTCTTCTAAAGAAGGCAGAGAATCCTTCTTCCAATATTGATCCACCAATAATATCGCTGCTGTTATTAAATTCAACATTAAAATAGTTTCTTTAGCATCAAAATCCACAAAAATACCCAAAAGAAATAACTGGGGAGTAAACTTAATCTTCCTTTTAAAAACCTTTTGAATGTTCCACCAAATCATAATCCAAAAAGCTTTAATATTTTTACAAGTCCACCAAATATGAAAATAAGTTGCATCCAAGCAACCACATCTCCAACATTTAGATTGCAGGTTCGGGTACATACAAGACAACTTTTTAGGATCCAGATGCCATCTATAAAACATTTTATAAAAATTTTCCCTCAAGTTTTGAGCCTGCGTAAATTTAACATTTCTAATCCAAATTACTTCCCATAAATCCAATGAAATTGGTTCCTGAATATTCTGAGCCCGTTTAATCATACAATCTTTTACTAATTCTGTTTCCGAATCCAATTTTATTAATTCATTGTAAATTCTTTTAATATGAGCACCTTTCTGATCTTTAATCTGAATTACCAAATTTTCATCTGCTAAAGTAATTCCCACTTTCTTATCTAAGGTTCACCTCTCCACTATTTGCAAATATTGAAACCATGATTGTAAAATATTTTCTTGCCTTAACACATCTGAAGACTTTAGTTGCCAATCAGTACCCGACCAAATAAGTAACTCTTTGTAAGAAATATTATCAAAATTCACCCCCTTAGAAACCCCCTGGATTGCTTGTCCAGGAATCCCCCAAATAGGTATTAAAAAACTGTATTCTTAACATTCAACAATTCCTAGCTTCACAGAAGACAGTGAGGCATCTTAGCTGCATGTGCATAAACCATAATAAACTAGCCCACAATATTTGAGTCTAGCATTTTCTGTGAACTCAAAATATTTGAATACTTTTAGCTTTGAGAAAACCTTTAAGGGACATGTTGTTTTTTATTTGTCAATTAGGCTAATCAATTTTGTATAATTCATCTTAATGCTGTGGTTCATACTTTTCCATAGCTTCTTCTACTTTTTCCTTCTGTTTAATCTTTTTCTTCTGCTCCCAGTTATTATTATTATTATTAATAATAATAATAATCTATATCTTATATAAATAAAAATGTAAATGTTTGTTTGTTCAAAATCTTAAATCTCCGAAAGTTCTTCACCGATTGCTTTGAAACTTTGACACAACATTGCATTCGAATACGTGCGTGTTTTTATATAACTATATTATATAGATGTCACACCTGTGACAGGTAAAAACATGCTTTTTTGAAAAACAGCACCATCTGTTGGATATAAAAGCAACACACGCTACGATTTCAGACAATCTCTATATCTGCACAATGGGACAACAAAAAATATTGTATACCCACAAGCATTGTGAAATTAAACATATTACAAACATGCGCTTTCTCTTTTCTTTATTTTCCATTTAACCAGACTGAGCCACAGCAACACATGGCTGGGTACAGCTAGTAATAATAATAATAATAATGTTGGAAGGGACCTTGGAGGTCATCTAGTCAAACCCCTTGCTCAGGCAGGAAACCCTATACCATTTCAGACAAATGGCTGTCCAGTCTCTTCTTAAAAACTTCCAGTGTTGGAACATTCACCGCTTCTGGAGGCAGGTTATTCCACTAGTTAATTGTTCTAACTGTCAGGAAGTTTCTCCTTAGTTCTAGGTTGCTTCTCTCCTTGATTAGATTCCATCCGTAGCTTCTTGTCCTGCCTTCAATTATTGCATTCAGTTATTGTAAGTTATTGATATAACTTACATTATATTTCACATTCACTAATGCACTCCTTTAAGTAATTTTAGTTACTGCTGGATGTGTACATCTTTACAATTTCCCTGTTGTGATTTAAGTATTTTAAACATATTCTGTGTTTTTACTGCTAATCATAGAAGGAAGTTCAATCAAGTCAATCCATCCATCCATCACCTTGCAGCATAGAAAATTTGTCTCCAAAGAAGGCTGAGCATTTGCCTTGATCTATACCATTACTGGGTAATAAGTATTAGATCAGTGGTTCTCAACCTGTGGGTCGGGACCCCATTTGGGGTCGAACGACCATTTCACGGGGGTCGCCAAACAACGCAGTCCGCCATTTTTCCCCCACTTTTCCTTAGCTGTGCTATTCCCTTTTATTCTACTGGCTTTTGAAAGCCAATAGAATAGACTCTCTTGAATAGAGTCTAATTCTATTGGCTTTCAAAAGCCAATAGGAATTGTCCAAGCTGTCTCTGCCCTGCTGAGCCCGCCAAAAGTCCCATTCTGTAAACGGTGCTGCACCAGTTGAGTAGTCCTTGACTTAGGACCAGTTGAGTAGTCCTCAACTTACGACCGGTTGGGGGTCGCGGCATTAAAAAGGTTGAGAACCACTGCATTAGATAAAAGCCAACTGCAAATCAGGTTCCTTTGTCCCAGTCCATCATTTTAACTGTATATCAATGTATCATGGAGTAGTGATTAAAGAAACTTATTTTTAAACAATACCCTCCCCCCAAAAAACCCTATCATTTAGGCAGCCAATATAAAAGCACCACATACTGAGCAAAAACAAGGCCAATTGCAGCTGACTATCATGTCATGCAGCGCTCTAGGGATAGGCAAATAAGTTATCCATGATTACTATCTAATTTGCCTTAGCAAATTGAAATAAAAATGTGTTTGCTAAAGAATATTTCTGGTTTATCTGTGGTATTTAAAGATGAAGATAATCAAGTTAGATATTTTTAAAAAATACAACCAAGCCTTTTTGCCTTCATAAATTTATTTATTAACAGTGCACATTCAAATGAAATACTGTAGCAATAACAACAGAACATGACCACATTTAGCAAACAAAGGAGAAAATTATCTAGTGGCTTCCCACTCAACTATCATCTTTGTAAAGAAGGATGGCAGAGAGAGAAAGAACATGAAACTCTGCTGGTAGGAGAATGCAAACATAAAACAACACTACCTGTCTTCTAGCATCCACAATAAATCCCTCTGTGCAGGTCAGAATCATACTAAAAACTACTGTGCATGAAGGTTTAGAATTGGGTCAGAGAAGTGAAAACAGAGAATAGCATGTAAGGCAAAGAAAGGAATTATTTCTCAGTTCTTTTATGAGTGAAAGAAGATTTAAGGCAAGTAGGAGAGTGAGCTCATATTCTGTCATAGAATGGAAGGAGTTAACAAATGAACCTTGGTAGATGGCATAGAAGAAAAAATAGAGAAGAAAAAAAATAGAAAAAGACTGCCTAGGTTTGCCACATAACAAAAATATTTAGCCACCGCAATGCTCCAATCTTACACTCTAGCTCAGGGGTCCCCAACCATGACAACTTTAAGACCTGTGGACTTCATAGGCAGTCCTTAACCACATTTGTTTAGTAACCAAAGTGATGACTATGCTGAAAAAAGTGACTTATGACCGTTTTTCATACTTATGACTGTTGCAGTATCTCCATGGTCACATGCTCAAAATTTGGGTGCTTGGCAACCCATATTTATTTACAATGGCTGCAGCATCCCAAGGTTACATGATCACCATCTGAGACTTCCCAGCTAGCTTCTGACAAATTCAATGGGGCAAGCCAGCTTCAAAGAATGACTGCAGTGATTTGCTTAATGGCCACAGCAAAAAAGATCATAAAATTGGGCATGACTCAGTTAACAACCACCTCACACAGAGATGGAATTTCCATCCCAATTGTGGTCATAAGGTTGAGGATTACTTGTATTACATATGTATATAATGCTACCCTATAGTACATATATACAAAGCTGTGGGTTATTTTTCTTCCAAATCAAAGAAAAGCCTAAAAATAAACAGCCAGGAAATGTTAAAGTGCTTTTGCTTAATATTAAGTAAGTCACTTGAATGGTTTTGTGGAACTGGATGTTAAGCTAGGTACGTACTCTTTTAGGAAAGGCTTTCTCTGTAATGCTGAGCTATAAGCAGCTTATTGCAGCCAACAAATGTTAAAATTGGTTGTCCAATTTATCTACACTTGAGCAGTTCAGTGAATGGTGAAAGATACGCGACTATGATGAGTTCATTTAAATGTATTATTCCCTGTATTTTCTACAGAGATTCACTACTGTACTAGTGAATTCACTACTGTACTAGTGAATTTTCTACAGAGATTCACTACTGTACTAGTGAATTAATCTAATTGTGACTAAAAATAGCTATTTGTGCCTTAAGTTGTTTTTAATACAGATAGTCTACATAATTAAAGCAATCAACCAAATCTCCTTATGTACAAATATTAAGGTAGACTCAAATAAATCAACAATGTCCTTAGTTGAACTGCACAATAAGGGCCACCCTCAAACTGCCTGGAAATTACAAATAATTCAAAAAGTGCTATATTTAGAGTAATTAACTTCTTACTGGGTACATGCCATCACCCAAAGGGGGTGCTGAAGAATATCAAATGTTGTCACTGTCTGCACTCCTTTTTTAAAACAAAAGCAAAAAATATTCTTAACCCTGATGTTCAGATTGGCCAGTCAAAGCAGTTTGAGTGGATTCTTTGCAAACTATGCATGAACAAGGCAGATAACCAGAGGTGAACACTTCTTAAATCCTTCAGCTACAATGGCTTTTTTTTTTAGCGTTTTCCACTCCATGACCATTTTTCTCTCTCTCCTTGTTCAGAGTTATTTTGTCTGATTCTCAGATTCTCGCTATATGAGTACCTTCTCAAACAATTATCAAGTATTAAACATATTTTTCTAAATTCAAAGGCAGCTTGAAGAAAGACCTAAGACTGAAAAATGATTTAATTTTGCATTTTTATGAATGCAAACTGAATAACCATTGATACAAAACAAGCAATTGCTTCTACTGTTACACATGATTGCCTTCTTCAGAATCCAGGTCTCTCAAATGAGTTTCACTGAAATGAATGAGGATGTCCTAATTCCATGCATTAAAAAAAAAAATCAAGGTACATGTTGCATTATGCTATTATTGCTGCATAACAGGTATCAACTAGCATATTACAAATTGCTTGTTTCATAGTTGCTTCAAAACTCTGCTTAACTGAACAAATATCTAAACAAGAGTTTTAGGATTTGATAACATCTTCAAGTGTTGGTAGAAAAATGATGTTAAGTAGTTTAAGAAGTGTGCTCTTCTGGTTTTAATTAGAACATTGATTAGCTCATGGAAGAAGAAGAGCTTTTGCAGCTTGGTTAGCTGCCATTCTTATTACAGAGCACAAGTTTCTAGTTCACAATCTCCCCTTTCATGTAGATAGAAGTAAAAGGCTCAAAATATAGGTCAGCCACACATCTTATTATTGCATGTTTGTGAACACTACCAAAAATCGTGCTAAAGGGAGAGAAGGAGAAATGTACTTCCAAAGGAAGAAAAGGTAGACAAGAATAAACTGATGTACAACTCTTTTGACAAAACAGAAATATACATTGAAAAATACCTGAAAGAGAAAACTGTAGAAACAGTTTCAGTTATCTATGTGAAATAATATTAAAATATAAGGTCATGCTTTGTTCTCTTAGAACCTTAACAGTGGGTTTCAGGATGATCTATCGATGACCAGATTTCAACTTATTAGAGGAATTGTCCAATTACAGAACAATCCAACCACAACTGAAAAGTTCTGCTGAGTTCTAGGACATCTCAAAGCAATGTTTGGGGGAACTGTTAAGAATGCAGAGATAACTATCCAGTATTGTTACCTAATTCACTTTTTAACGAAGAGAACTATCTCTAAGGAAATCAATACTCCCTCCATTCTCTAATCTGTTCAGACTTCTGTTCTCCAAACATGCTCATCTAAGAAATATTAGCAAAAGAAAAACTTGATAATTTCACAGGAACAGAGAAGAAAAATAGTTATATTTCAATCTGGTAGCTATCATTACAAATCCTGCAATTCACCAATAACAAAAAAAATGTATTACTTTAATCAAAATTTTGCCTTAGTCCAATGCTGTACATATTCAATCAATCCCTCTTAATATTTCTAGCAATCTCAGCAATCTAATTGTTTAGCACCATGTCAGTCAATACACACTGAAGATTTGGTTGTACATTCTTTGTAGTCACTCGTGGGCTACATACCATAAATTTATGCACAGAGGTGGAAGATATTTCTTTTTGAAACAGTTACATGTGCGCTGGTATATCATTGCACATTATTTAATAAAACCCAAGACACACGGGCTTTCTCTACCAGCTTATAAGCTGTAGGTCTTCAGATAAAGGGTGATGTACAGACAGGTCCAAATAGTATAAGAATAAAAATAAAATTTTAAATGCATTGAGCTGAAAATAGCTATCCATTCTTATTCTCCAGTAAGTTACCCCTCCACCCCAAAAGGAGGAGGCGTATTAAGTGCAGATAAACAAATTATAGTATCAGATATTTACAAAACCTGCGTAATGGGTAGTGGGAAAAGGCAGCCCTTTAACTGTTCATAAAAAATGTGAAGCAATCATGGTCTCTATGTAAATATGGACATCTATTAAGATTGTGCAACATAGTCAAATGATCCCACCCCTTTAGCAATATTATCTATGCCAGTCACAGGAAGAGAAAGATCAAAGCTCTGAGTTTGGGAGTTTATTTGCCTATTGCAGACAACACAGTGCTTCTTGTATAAAGATAAATTATTTCAGGTCAATAACAGTATGCAGTTTGGATCCCCATTAGAAAGACAGTTCCATATTCCCTCCTTCTATTTCTTTCCTATCAACAATATCCAATTCTTGTTTGGGGTTCACCTGTTTGCATTACAATTAAGTCATCTCTCCTTTCTCCCATCTTGAAGAAATACAGCTTCTGCTTTGTACAGGTCAGGCATCTTCAGTGCTACTTGCATCCTCAAATGTATTCTTCAAAGTGCAGCCAAGCCAAAATTACAACGGCAGTACATCATACCAGCAATGTCCAGCCAGTTATCAGCTATAGGGTCATATTTTTGTACAGTATTAAGATAGGACGAACCTGAGTGTCCACCAACTACATAAAGATATGTATCAATTACAGCTGCACCAACTCCTATTGGGAAAGAAAAAAGAATATATATATATATATATTTAACATTAGAAAATCAAGTCCTTTTCATGGGAAAAACATGCAAACTAAAAAACCTCCCATAATTTAAATAAGTGTTAAAGAACTTGGGGTTGTTATGAGGAAAATGGGATGCAGGAGTATTACATATGTTCACCAACTTTAGTTAACCTAATCATCATCATAATGAATGTTGTAATGTGGAAGGTGGAAAATATCCAAAGGTCAGATGTTTTCTTGAGAGTGGAGAGGAACACCATAAAATTCTCCCTTCAACTCATCTCTTCACTACTCTTCTCTATTATGGAGCCTAGCAAAAGACGATAGTACAGGAAACTCAGAATAGAAATGGTCAAATATTACTTTAGTATCATGAAAATGGGTTAGGCAGAAAATGCTTTCTGGAACAATTCTAGGCCTCCAGGTTATGTTTTACTGCCATAAAGAGTTTTGGTTGAGGAAGAAAGCACCAGTTTATCCTTGAAAATATGAGTTGAAACGGCCATATTCTCTAACATCTAATAAATAATCAGTTGTGATAACAGCTCTGAGGACACTGTCCACTGCCTCAGGTCCAACATGGTCAAACTGCTCCCAGATAACCAGGTGAGTCTCTAATGGATCTGCTCCATGCTTGATTTCCAAAATTCCAATTGAGAATGGATTCAAGCAATTTTGTCTGTCAGACCCTTGACAAATTCCTCCATGATTTCCCAGTTGCAACTGAGGAATTGAAGACTGCATGTGTATGCTGATGGGATTTGGGAGAGTACATGTTCTGGCTATTCTGGGATTCTATCTTTTGTTCTTTTCTGTTTGGAATGCATTTTCAAAACAATGGGAAAAGGATGTTTACATTGTTGAACTGAATGAAATTGATGTCATGGGAGAGCCTGTGTGTGTTATGTTTGTTTGGTGTGGTGCTCGGTAAGTGTGTGAATTGATCAATTATAAGCTTTCACTCAGCTTAGAAGCTCTTTCTGCTAAACTGGATGCCAGGCTAAACAGAGAGCGAAGTCCTGTCTCTGCCAAAGAGTATGCCTTGTGAGTAAGTGGCGGCTGGCTGCTGTCTCTCCAGAAATGCTTCAGCTGTGAACATTTAGAATTAGGGGAGAGACCTCACAAGGACAGCCATCTATTCCTGACATCATCCTTCTCCAGTCATTTCTCTTGTGTGCCTATTCTCTTCATAAACTTAGCTTCTCCTTGGACTCTGCAAAATTTGCCTGCACTATACCTGTTAGCTGCCAGGACAAGAGGGAGAGGAGGATATGCTATTTCCAGAGGAAGATTTACTTTTATAGACTGTGCTTCATAGTTTGTTGTGATTTGTTGCGACCCTAACACCTGAGCCAAATAATAAAGTAGCAGGATGGAAATAAGGGTGATTCTGCAGCACAAGCATAAAGTTATGTTTGCAAATTCAAAAATATGGAGCAGTTCCCAAACACATAATTGCCTTACAAGGAGAGAAGTTACTAGGAGTAAGAAAAAAAATCAGCTTAGTTAGATTCATTAACAGCTAAAAGATCTAGAATGGTATTAAATGAATACCTAAGCAATGTTATTATTCATTCACCAAAATGTCTAACTCTAAAATAGGCATGCTGTATTTTCCATGCTGAAATCCATATTCCCACAAAACTAAGCTTCATTTATTTTATGCAAGGAAACCCTCCAAAACCCTAAACGGTTCAAAGTTTTGATGCCCACCCTCTTTATTAATTTAATCATCCTGTTCTTTTGCTTTCAGAGGAAAAAAATAAATGCAATCTTTGGCTGTAAATAGTTTGCCTATCTGTGTCTTAAAGTACTGATGATATAAATGCTATTCAAGTAAATCTCTCTCTTTCTTTTTCCAGGGGTTTTTGGTTTATCATAGCAAAGATAAGGTGTTTTTTTTTTTTTTTTAGGAAAAGACAACTGAATAGCACTTTGGGGCATTCTTACATGATATCCCATTTGCATAGAAATAGCACATTCAGTTTATTACCAGTTCGGGGTTCCTTCATTGGATGACAAACAGTCCATTGGTTTTGGTGTAGATCATACCGCTCAATGCTGGACAAGTGAGAAACACCATTGTGCCCTCCAACTACAAAAATGAAGCCTAGCATAACCCCAACACCAAAGTTTATTCTCTTGTCTGCCATTGGTGCAACTGCTTCCCAGGAGTCCTTGTTGGGATCATAACGTTCCACACTGCAGATGGAAACAAACAACAGAATTTAATGACAAGAGTTTCTACTGATTACTGCAAGATAGTACTGTAGCTGCGTTCATGAGGGATAATCAGCAAGTTGCAATTCCCACATGAATGCAGCTTCAATGGCCTCTTGAGATAGTCTATAATACAAGTTATAGTCAACGTATTTTGATAGCACATAAAACTCTACATTCAAGATGAAAATCAGGGACCAAAAGAAGAGAAAGGATTGAATATGGCTTAAGTATTAGGTGAAATTTCCCTAGTTCTAGGTTGCTTCGCATTCTCTTGATCTCATAAAAAGCTCAACAAGCTAATGTTATCCCAATTTTTTTTAAAAAAATGTAGCCAATAATGCTGGCAACCCCACCCTCCAAAAAAAAAAACCCCAAAAACAAAAACACACACAAAAAAACCCTGGCATTTGGGAAACACAAACCTTGCTTCCTTCAAACAGGCCATAAATCATGGCAATATACTGGCTTCCAGAGGCTCCTTCATTTCATTCCAGAACTTTCAAGCACTCTTAGTATTAATCACATACAAATCACATACTAAGTTATGTTCTGCTAGATACTGTGACGTTGTTTTTCCACAACAGGAAAGGGACTTGAACATTATACTGCAGCAGTGTTATTCCATGTTTGTAATGGTCTTTACATAACCAAGTTTTGATTCAGTTTTAGAACAATTTTAACTTCAGATTTAACTTTTTTTTAATGATTGCCTATTAAAATCTGCAAAATGGATTGGCTTAGAATTAAATGACATAAAATCTACTGTTGCTGCCAAGTTGGACTATAATTTTGTAAGTGTTTAATCTGGGGCATTTTTGCTCTAATTTAAAGCAGCAGACACATAAGAAAAATTACCATACTGTGTTCATATTATGCTCTTACCCATAATTAATTATTTCCCTAATATTTTAGAAAATTGGATTAACAGAACACACTCAACAATAAACTAGCCCCAAGTGCATTTACACAGCACACTTGCAAAAAATGTGTCTAGCATTTCAGTGTGTTATTATCTCAAGAACACAACCCCAGGCTACAGTACTGAAATTATGTTGCACTATACAAGGCTGAATTATCATATAATTAAATTTACATCATCAACCAGTTGCTCTAATAAAGGGCATTTAGTTAGAACGAATGCTTGGTTTCTGACATGTGTATGCACATGACCAATAAATACCACAATATGATTTAGAACCTAACCAAACATATAATTTCTTCTCCCCAGGTTTTGAAGAAAAACACAAGAATAATTTTAACAAACAATCCCAAGGAATTCCTTAGACAAATTACCTAAAGCAGGAATTAAACAAGACATTGTTACCCTGGGAATAATAAGGTAGAGGATCCTGCAAATTTCTGTTCTGCTGTATACCACCCAGTCGCTTTCCATTGAGAGGGGGCCATATAAATGTGATCAAATTAAATCAATTAATGTCATATATAATAATAATATATAATTGCCAAGCTTAAACATGCACTTGCCTGTTCATATGAGCTGGACCATAGCCCCCAATGGCATAAATCATTCCATCTAAAACAGCTGCAGCAAAGCAACTCCTAGTTTTGTTCATTGGTGCAACAGGCTGCCACGCCTTCACCTTTGGAATATACTTCTCCACTGATTGCAGGTAGGACTGCCCATCATAACCTCCCAAGGCATAGATTTCTCGTGATAAAACTGTTACACCCAGAGTACTTCGACTCTCATTCATATTCTCAATTGATGTCCAAGTGTTTGTATCAGGGTCCCAGCATTCCACAGAGCTTTCATGTTTCCGATAATTGATGCCTTGACACATGTGGGTTGCAATTCCTCCTATTACATAGATTTTCTGATCAAGGGCACAGATTCCAAATTCATAGCGAGGAACACTCAGAGGTGCTAAGCCTATCCAAGAGTCATTCTTAGGAAAATACATTTCAACACTGAAGAAGACAAAAAACAATCATGAGGCAAAACGAAATTTCAATATATCAAGAGCTGCTACCCTAATGGAATTTAAATATTTTTACTCTATGTCTCTTATTTCAAACGATTTTTTTTTTTTAAAAAAAATGCTGGTTTGAGTTGCTTGATATTGAACCATCTTCTAAACCGGCCCCTACACACAAAAACATTGTAATTGAATTAATGTTTTGTGTTAAGCATATATGGTTTGGTTTGGGCTTAAATTTTAAGGTAAATCATTGTGGCTTGAAAAATAATAGCTGATGGTTTAACAGTTATGTATGATCTCTGTAGTATATTCATTTAATTATAAACAAACCATTGCTCAGTGTGAGGTATATAACCAGTCTCTAAATCATAAGAATTGGAAAGAAATTCAGGATAACAAATCTTAAAAATAATTTTACTTTAATATTTATTTATATGAAACTAAACTAAGAATGCAATCATTTATGATTTGCTCCAAGAACACATAGGGAACACCTTCACACTTCCTTGGAGCACAACACATTATATCACTCAAACTTTACCAAAGCAGAGCTTTATTGTTCTGAAAAACAGCTCACCTCTTTAATGAAAAGATTGCTCACTGGAACTGAAAAGTCCTAAAAATATGGTCCATCAATGGAGATGAAGACAGTCAAGTGGCTGATTTGATTTTGTTGTTGCCATGGGAGTTGAATTTTTCATGGGTTAAATGTTTTTAAATGTTATAAGTCACCAGTGTCACCCATGTGTGAGTTCGGCGGCTATATAAATTTGTTTAATAAATACATAAACTTAAATTCTGTTAAATGGGCAAAATTTGGAGAGTGAGCCCATCCTAGGTAGTTTCTCATCTATCCTTCATAGTCTTTACTGCTGGTGCAAAAGAAAGTTAAATGTATAAGTAGTTCACATAAAATCTACTCTGCAAGATCTCCTAAACCTTTAGCTGAGCAAAAGGATTACCAGGAAGGGAATTTAAACTAATAGCTGCATCCATTCCATGGTGATTAATTAATAAAACTGACTACTACTCAATATCTGGACATAATGTAGTCAAGTAAAATATAGCCTTCAAAAGGTGAGGTAGGGATATAAGTGGGTTGTTGACTTTCCAGATGTGAACTCAATCATACATTTTACAGCTAACAATTTTAGGCAATGAAACTGATTACAGGATAATGAACCTCAAGATAGTTCTTTGTTGTGGTAACAACCCTAATAGTTGAGAAACAAAAATAATAAGACCATTCATACTTCTAATGGAATAGAAATTAGATTTGCAGTTCAATTTTGATCTTATTTCTACCACCACTTAATTGTGGGGGGGCGGAAGCCCTGAAATCTCTTTCCTTTTTAGTAAATGGGATAAATTATTAGACTAATATGATTAAGATATAAATATACTCCTGGACTAAAAGAATGCTAATAATTCTTACAAGGCTGTGACAGTGAGAACAGCAAAATGAAGAACATTCCAAATTATAACTCCTTGGTCAATTAGCTGCTATTCTAAGACAGCGGTTCTCAACCTGTGGGTCGCGACCCTTTTGGGGGGTCACATGAGCCTTTCACAGGGGTCACCTAAGACCATCGGAAAACACATATTTCCGATGGTCTTAGGCAGGGCTTGTCAACCGCCTTCTCTCCCTCCCCCTCTCCGCTCCACCTCACTTGTTTGTGGAAAATATGCTGCTTGGTGGCAGTCTGCACGAATTCTACCAAATGTGCCCTGCAGGGGGTGCATGAAGAGCGCAGGCGCAGAGCAAGGCCCCTCCCTCCCCAGAGACTCATTGTGCAGCAATCGGATTGACTTCTTCTCGTGCACGCAGGTCAGCGAAGGGGAGGCCACCGCAGCACCCAATTCCTGCGCCTGTCAGCTGGCGACCCCCGAACTTGCACTTATCAGCCGGGAGATCTGGCGATGGCCGCCGGTCTCCTTTGCCACCCGCCCGTCCTCGACTCCTCCTCCGCCCGTTCATGTCAAGCCCTCCGGGGCTTGACAGGGAGAGAGGGAGGGAAGGAGGAAGGGACTCCTCCTCTCCTAAGCTTCAAAGCACGATCGGCTTCCCAAGGGCGCCACAATTCTCACGAAAGCGGGGGTGGGGAGCAAAGGGGGCGAGAAAGCTCACGGCGGGCTCAAAGGAGCACCTGTCAGCGTTGGTGACTAGAAATTCCCCACAAACCCAGGGAAGGGGTGGAGAAAAGGAGCTCCCTTTGGGAGGAAACTGCCACCTTCTTCTCCTTGGCTTTGCGCTCTTCTGTTCCTCGGCAGCCGGGCTGCCAAGCCTCTGCTGGCTGGAACTTCCTTTCCTTCCCTCCCTCTTGGTCTCTTCCTCCTTCCCTCCCTCTCCCATTATCCCTTCCTTCCTTCCTTCCTTCCTTCCTTCCTTCCTTCCTTTTCTTCACCTCTCTCTTTGTCCCTCCTTCCCTCCCCTTGTCCCTTCCTTCGCCTCCCTCTTTGTCCCTCCTTCCTTCCCTCTTTCCCCTTGTCCCTTCCATCCTTCCTTCCTTCCCTCTTGTCCAGCATCGGGGCGAACCTCTACAGCTGATCCGCGCTTTTGCAGAGCAGCCAAGAAGCAGGTCAGCTGCAGCAGCTCTCCTTGGCTCCTGCCCAGCAAACTTGCTCAAGCTTTGCTAGAAAACATGCTGCTTGCTAATTTAGCAGAAGCGCGAATCAGTTGTAGCCCGGCGCTGATCCTGGGGCTTCTGCTAACTTAGCAAGCAGCATGTTTTCTGGCGAAGCTGAGCAAGTGAGCTGGGCAGAGCTCTCTTCTGCCTCTGGCAGCCTGTCCCCCTCCCCTTGTCCCTTCCTGGGCACGGAGGGGGAGAGGAAGGAAGGGACAAAGAGGGAGGGAAGGAAGGAAGGGATAAAGAGGGAAGGAAGGAGGGAAGGAAGGGACTAAGAGGGAGGGGAAGGAAAGGAAGGAAAGAAGGGACAATGAGAAAGAGGGAGGAAGGAGGAAGAGACTAAGGGAGGTGAAGGAAAGGAAGGAAAGAAGGAAGGAAGGGACAATGGGAGAGAGGGAGGGAAGGAGGAAGAGACTAAGGGAGGTGAAGGAAAGGAAGAAAAGAAGGAAGGGACAATGGGAGAGGGAGGGAAGGAGGAAGAGACTAAGAGGGAGGTGAAGGAAAGGAAGAAAAGAAGGAAGGAAGGGACAAGGGGAGAGAAGGGAGGGAAGGAAGGCAGGCACCCACCCCAGTCCCATCCCAGAGACCCACAGATTCCCCCCCCACAGGCACTCTGCAACCTGAGTGATCAGCTGGCCATGCCCCCTGGCCATTGATCACGTGACCCTGGGACACTGTGAACGTCATAAGTATGAATCAGTTGTCAAGCATCCGAAAGTAAATCACATGACCCTGGGGATGCTGCAACAATCATAAGTGTGAAAAATGATCATAATTTACTTTTTCAGTGCTGTTGTAATTTCAAACAGTCACTAAGCTAATTGTTGTAAGTCGAGGACTACCTATACTTTCCCATTTTTTCCTCTTTTTTTTGTCTTGATACCCCCCGGCCAGCTGGATCGGGGGTTGGGGGTCACCACAACATGAGGAACTATATTAAAGGGTCACGGCATTAAGAAGGTTGAGAACCACTGTTCTAAGGCTTCTGCATTCCAGACAAGCAACTGAAGGTTGCAAAACCTGTATAGTTTTCATCAGAAATAGGTTCTGCTAGCTACCTTGACTTGTGAACAGAAGAGATTAGCAAGACAAGCCTGCTTAAACCCAGATTTTTCTTGTTGTGGCTGTTATTTCTCACCTTTCCAAACAAGCAAAGAGTCCAGCTTTGCCCCCCACTGCACAGAGCACTTTAGGAGGGCAGCGAGGACGTGTAGTTAGTACAGTCTGATACGAAAGCCTGTGTTCAGGCATGAAATGGTACTTCAGAGCTTCATTCAACAGGTGTTTACAGGTATGATCATCACGAATCAGATGATTGGCTTCATAAAGTCTTGTGAGAAATTTAACACTCAATAGAGGCAACCGTACACAATGAAGTAGCTGCGCCAGAAATTTCTGACGCTCCTGCACATCATATTTGATCCAAGATTCCAGTGCATAAAAAACCATTTCCTCTGTAACCACATTCAAACAGTCATTGGAAACAATTTCATCCAGCTCAGAATGGGTAAGTTCAAAAAACTCTTCTGTTTGACAAACATCTTCAAAGTTCTGACAAATATATTTATTGGCAGCTGAGTACAGATCATGACAGCCATACGTCTCTGCAAAACGGGAGATACCAATACAATTGCCAGGATCCAGCTGGCTTTCTAAAAAGGTACAACACTCTTTCAGCACAAGCTTGATTTGCAAGAGATTGGCAGCAGGCAGAAGTGATTCCACGGTGTCTTGTGATATGAACACAGTCCCAGTATAGGCATATTCCACTATGGCCTGCAGAGCTGCTTCCGCAATGCACTGGAATTCTACTTCTGAGTTTTCTTTTTCAGAGAGATTGCCACTGAACATGGCTTTGAAATATGGACTGATACTAGCAAGCACAACTTTATGGGCATGGATCTTGACATCTCCAACTCGAAGGATGACATCACAAAGTTCATGGTGTTGGCGGAGTAAATTCAGGCCTTGCAGGAGTTGCTCTGAATGCAGGGGTATTAAATTAGCAATCATATAGGTTGGAGATGACTGGTCCATCTGTTAAAATAAATTTAATTTAAACACACTTTCATAATTTTTTAACTAATATACTTTCGACACATTCAAAGCAATATAAGGACTTGTGCCCTTGTCACAATGCAATGCAACTGCATCCGGTGCAAAACGTAGTAGTCTGTTTATTGAAAGGCATTACCACGTTATTCTAATTTTGTAGACTCTGCATTGGTTATCAATGGACTTCTAGGTGAATTTTAAAGTTCTACTTTGACTTATATGGCTTGGGACCTATGTACTCCAACCAGATTTGCCCATTCAAGGAATCTCTTGCAAAAGTTGTTCTATGAAGTGAATGGAACCAGAATGTACTGGTTTTGCAATATGGTATTAACATTATGGAATACCTCCCTCGAGATTATGAATGTCAACAGATTATTCTTTTTGCATTTTATTTCAAATCATTTCTATTTTTAAAAATCACTGAGCTTCTTTATCTTTCTCAATACATATCAGTATCTTGGCCTTCTTTTTGAATAAAAATACTGAAACTATTGTAAAGAGATTTTCATATTCTCCTTATATGTCTACACATCCAAATTATATTCCTTACACACACACACACAGACTACTTTTTTATTTGCAGTGATTTACCAATGAAGAGTCTGAATAACAGTAAGAAAATAAGAACTGGCCTGAAATAGAAAATTTGAGTTTGAAACATTACAAGTATAAAGCAAAAAATAACAAGCCTGCCTAAAGATAGCAATAAGACAATAATCATAGTATGGCTATATATTCTCTCTCTTATACTGCACGGTGTATGTGATCTAAGCTGGACGGCACTTTAAATTCTAAAAAGTTGTTTTAAGAGTGTACAGAAAAGCAACACATAGTGAGTCATTAAATTATTACCAGTATGTCTGTTATAGAGCTGCATTTATGTTCCCATTGCTCTAAAGCAACTTTTCAGTGTCAAATCATAAAACTGTACACAAACTTTTAAGTGCTTTATCTTTGAGCTCCATGAATTTTTATGACTATGGAATGCTCACTCATTTCTCACGATTACTTTAAAAAGCCTTATCACATTAATTAGTAAAACCTGAATGTTTTAGAACCACAAGTCTCTACATTATACCCCCCCCCAAAGTTAAAATCTACCCCTCCCTTTGAAAACCAGCAACTTCCAGCGTGTATATCTGATTATGATAACCTCAGCCCAAGGCAAATCAACTTTAACACCACTATTCTAGTCTCAAGATAAACATACTAGACATTACAGAAATTGCTACAAATTCATTTGAAAAACAAGGACTTCCCTCAGCCAGTCATCCCTTCCAACCTCCGTCTCATATTATGCTATTTTTTTCCCCTCGATATCGTTATCGAGCCACGCTCTTTCTGGCCCATGTTCCTTCATTTCGGCCATTCCCTCCCTCACAATTAATATCGCGGGGGAGGGTCACTCACCGGACTCAGGGGACTGCAGCCCGGGCGGGCGGGTGCCTCAGTGGGCTCCTTTCAGGCACAAAAACACAGCCAGACGCAGCGGAAGAGAAGAGGCGACGGCTGGCTGCGTCATTTCCGCTAACGAACCAGACTCCTCCCCCAAAATTTCGACTCCCGGCAGCCTTTTCACTATTCACGAGGAGAGCTATTACCCCAATTTCAAGTTTACATTTAAAACAAAACAAAGCAAAAATAAACTTCCCCTGGGTGTAGATAATTATAGCACCATCAGCTCTGCTATTTCTCTTGTTTCGTGAGGGGTTGGACTACATACCCCGGCGCGCACTGCGCGCCGAGGCTTCCTACGAACGTTCTACCCGCGAGACCCGCCTGAGCGTTCTTTCCACCCTTCGCGGCTTATCTTCGTTTTCTATCAAACGATTGACAGGCGCCGCAGTTCTCCTCCCCAGCTGGGCGTTATGCGCACGCGCAATGGTACCTCCGTCGTGGCGGAGGCGGCGAAGGAGGTGGCGGTAGCAGCGGTGACGCGTTTCCCTGGAGACGGCGATGCTCCCCTGTGAGGGGCCCGGCGGCGGCGGCGGCGGCGGCGGCGGCCTCGGGGCGGGCTGGCGGGGCAGCCGGGCAAAGCCCTGGAGAGGGGCATGGCCAGAGAGGAAGAGCAGGAAGGGGGTGCCTCCGGCGGAGGAGGCGGCGGCGGCGGAGCAGGAGGCCGCGGAGCTAGGGAGCAATGGGAGGCGCTCGACGCCTCTTTTCTTGCAGGCCGCGTTCCGTCGCCGACCCAACCGGGAGCCACGTTGCGCTTCGGGCTGGTCCCGTCGGAGCTGCACGCGCGGCTGCTGGACCAGCAGGACTACCGAGGCCGCGTGGGCGCCATGGAGCAGCTAAAGCGGGTTTTGGGAGAGGCGCCGGGTGCGGCCTTGGCCTGCTTGCCCCCACCTAACCTCCTTGGGCTGCTCAGCCTGCTGCGGGCGTTGCTGGACGACTCAAACTTCAAAGTGGCGTTGGGTGCGCTAGAAGGGCTGCGCCTGCTGGCTGTCCGCCTAGGCCCGGCCGCGGGGAGCCGGTCCCGCCTGGAGCCGTTGGTGGCGGCCGCAGCTAAAGTGCTAGGCGATGCTAAGTTGGCCATCCGTCAGGAGTACCATCAACTCTTTCTGGGTCTGATGCGGGCAGCCGGCCCTCAGCCCGTGCTGGATCTCCTGCTTCGCCCCGAGCACCTGCAGCATCGCAATTCTCGTGTCCGCGAGGTTGTCCTGGCCATCTCCATCGCTGCTCTCCTCACCTTCCCTAGCGAGGACTTCGAGCTCCCCAAGCTGGTGGCTGCACTTGCCCCTGCGCTGGCAGACAGCAAGCGCCGGGTTCGTCACGCCGCCTTAGAGGCTTTTGCTGTCTTAGCCTCGGCCCTGGGCCCCGGTCGCACCAGCCTGATCTTCAAGGCAGTGGACGTGGTTGAACTTCAGGATAATTGTGAAGGAGTCATGAGTGCTGTGCAGGCTCGGTTGGCGAGAAAAACTCTTCCCAAGCTGACCGACCAGTGGTTTGTGGAGTATGCTGTTCCCCTGCCTTCCTCGGCAAACGGGCGCGGCTTTCATTTGCCTCATGGAGCGGACACAGATTGGCTCCTAGAGGGCAACCGAATCCAGAGTGCCCACAGCTACTCTGGAGAGACTGCTGGGTCTTTTACCCCTTTTGCAGATCATGCAGTATGTCCCCGGCGTGTGTTAAGTGCTGGGAAAGGAAAACTGCCTTGGGAGAGTGAACGACCTGGGAACCAAACTTGCTTTGCAAAAGGAAGTGAACCAGTAAGTAAAACCATCCTATGGTACTGGAGTCTAAATTGTTCTTCAAGCTATATGGAGTCATCCAGGTGTCTTCAGGCAAAAACTTCCACCAGCCAAGATTCCCATTAATTTTGCTGCGTAGGGCTGAAAGGATGTGGAGTCAACATATCTGGATAATACTAGGTTAGGGAAAATTAGTTTGTATTCTGTTAAAGAATAAAGACTAAAACTCCATTTACTCTGGTTTTTAGCTGAAGTTCATGCTACCATTACCAAAAATTTGAGTGACCCAATTGAATTTATTTTTAGATATTCTTAATACTATATGGCTTATATTTTAAATAATATTTTAATTCACATTTTAATACTGTAATAGCATAATTGTGGTTTAATTGTTGGCAGGCAGCCTTAGGGCCGTAGTACAATATCGATGGGATATGATTAAATAAATTAAAAATGACATAACTCTAATTTTATTCTTTCACCCAGACCCTCAAGACTTCCATATCATTTGATTTAATCCTTTTAGCTACTATTTTCTAATGTATTTGTTGAATATGATTACCATGCTGCACAGTTAATTAGTCATGTTAATGATTTTGAGGATATTAAAGGAAAAAAGTGGAAAATAGGGCATTTTTAGAGGATTGTTGCCTATGCTGAAAAATCTGCACCACTTGTTGGCTGCTAACTGGGCACTATTTCTTGTTTTTGGAACTCATGTTAAGTCGTTTTGCTTTACTGTTAAGAATTTTTTCTGCTATTAAGATATGCTGAGAGGTCCTTTTGATGATGCTCTCAAACTACCAGTTTACTAATATGACATGTAGGAGAGAGCTTTCTCCTGTGTCACTTTGAACTATATCTTCACAGTCATGTTATAAAAATTTGGGCACTTGGCAACCTGCACGTATTTATGATAGTTGTAGCATCCCAGGGTCACATTATTACCATTTGTAACCTTCTTACCTCTTCAGACAATCAAAGTCAATGGGAGAAGCTGGATTTGCTTAACAACCACATGATTCACTTAACAATTGTTTAACAACCATGGCAAAAAATCATAAAATCAGGCACGACTCACTGAACTACCGTCCTGTTTAGCAATGAAAATTCTGGTCACAATTGTGGTTGTATCAACCACAATTTGGAAGACTCAGTATCTATTGAAACTGTCCCAAGAACAGTACAAGAATAGCATTGTTATGGCCAGATTAAAGTGGTTCATCAGACATTATCAAACTTTGAGAACTCAAATAAAACTCAAATAGATGAATTTCAGGCACATGCTTTGAGTATTTGCATAATCCTCCCAAACTCTGCTCTTCTATTCAAATTTTATTTTCATGCAGAACTTAAGAGTTGTATGTAGGGAGGAATATTTGCATTGATGGAAACCTGAATTACCATGGAGATTAGTTGAGGTTTAAATTCGAATATCACATGTTTCCTTCTTCTGAATTTCTGCATAGAAACATGGTGTTAACAAAAATTGACAATGTATAATCACAATGTCTTGAACATGTGTCATGAAGAAAGAAATCGAAAGCTGTCAGAAACAACTTCTGTATTAATTAGTGAACTATAATGAGTTGCTAGATCAGACCCAGTTTTTTTAAAAAAATGTCTAGTATGAATGGTCCCCATGCAGAACTTGAACTTAGCAACTAACTTTCAGGAGACTGCAAGCCCTGAATTTGATAGATTTATTCAAGCCATTATGGCTAATCAAGATTTGATTGTTCATATGTAGAAAGTGTTCTGAAAGTTTTTGAATCAACAGCTGAAGCTGCTGCTTAAATTTGCTGTACACTTCTGTTCTTCAAGCAGTTTTATACTGTCCATTCTTTATTGCAGCAGTTTCCAACCTTTTTGGCATCAGGGACCGGTTTTGTGGAAGACCATTTTTCCACGGATTGGTGGGGTGAGGAGGAGCATGCAACCTAGATCCCTTGAATGTGCAGTTTAAAATAGGATTCACGCTCCTATGAAAATCTAATGCCTGGTGATCTGAGGTGGTGGCGGTAGCACTGGGGAACAGCTGCAAATGCAGATGAAGCTTCACTTGCCCACCACTCACTTCCCACTGTGCAGCTTGGTTCCTAACAGGCCACAGACTGGTACTGGTTGATGGTCCGGGAGCTGGGGACCCCTGCTTTCATAGACCTCACCTCTGGACGTTTATTTTGTATAGTGTAACGGAGGTGATGTCACTATATGCTGTATGGTTTTCCATATGATCGTGCTCTTTTATTTTCCTCATCTGTTTCAGACCTATTAATATTTTTGAGATTGGCAGCTATATAAGTATGATATATAAATAATTTAAAAAAGGAAAAAATAAAGATCAGTATCAAATTCAATAGATAACACAAAGGTAAAACTGATACTGACTTAGAACAGTGCCTTTCTAAATAGAAAGGCCATAAGATGCAAGTGTCTTAAACCATTCAGAATAACTTCCTAATGGTAAAGCCAGTATGTTATATTGATTATTGAAATAAATCTTTGGGCTTGAGTTAGGATGAGTTCAAAGAAAAGTAAATGAACATAATTTTCAGTCTTTAATTTTTTTAGCTAAGATTTCTCAGAATTTGAAGAAGATTAATAATTACATTTAGGTACATTCCAATGAGCTCAGTTTTGTTACAGATTAACGTAAGTAGCCCCACCGCAATTCAAGGAATTTGTGCAGTCAGCATTGTTCATAAGAGTTCAGTAACAGTACGGACCAATACAGGAAAATTAGCAGGTACAGAAATTATTCTTTTGTAATGATTCTTTTTAAAAAAATGTTTCATAAAGGCTAATATTTGTAATAGATTAGATGGTCCTTAAGTTGACTTTCAGTTCTGTATCTAATTAAATTTGCACTGTCCTAAGAACAGTGGAGGAGTGGAGTTGTTATGGCCAGACTAAAGTGGCTATCAAAAATGATCAGATGTTAAAAACTCAACTTAGTTAAAATATCCTTTTTGAAAACTTCAAATGGTTTCTCATACTGTATCTAGGGTCTAGTCAGTGTACTTTTTTCCTCTTAATTTTGCAAATGAAAAAAAAGATGTAAATTACATTATACTGTAGTACTATTTGCCTTTTCTTTCTGTTCCAGTGCTTGACATCAAATGATTTTCTTTACTCTCCTAAATTAAGAGCTTCTCAAGGTAAGCCAGTGAAATACTAAGTATGTACAAAGTTCTTAAGAACATCAGAGTCACTTATAGTGACATGGTGGTACAATAGATAGTACAGTACAGAAACGGTTGAGCCATCCAGGTGCCTGTTTTGCCCTCTCCTCCGTGCTCTTTTGTTGTCTGGCCTGAGTTAAGACAGAACAAGGTACTGCTAAATCTGGTGAACTGAACATTTTTGAAGCTGTCTCAGTTATAGCTCAAAAGGATTAGATGTTTCCTTTTTGTTCAGTACTCCCACTGTCATCTTTAAAATGTTGGGAAAGGGTTTTATTTAAGTAGTTTAAAATAGAATGAGACTGAGAGGACAAGAACTTGTACTGCATTGATTGCCTAGTTATTAGAAAATCAGAGAATATTTTTGCAGTTTGTATGCTAATTTAATCAAAACATTTTTTAAAATTTTTGCCTTGAAAGATATACGAGAAGATGATTCGGGGAATATCCCAAAGAAATACAGAATTA